AAAGATTCTTTTGATTGCCACGTGGACCTAGTCGCAATTATGTCTAGTATATCTGTATCATTCTAAGTATGTAATTAGAGTCTAAGTTTATTTGTTTACTTGTTGCCTCTTGACTATATATTATTGCCAAATTTAATTTATTCTTAGTACCTATATGGTGTACTTTTCAATCTTGTCATGCGTAAAACCAACATATGCCATATGCCAGTAACTAATTTTAAATAATTGAATTGCAAGTTATCCCAAAAGATTAAAAATCTTAAGACAGTTAAACAGTAGGAAAGTACAACTGCTTTTAATAACAGCAATAAAATTCAAATGAAGTAACTATATATATAATACGAGAAAGAAATGGCTATATGATTATTTTTATTATTGTATCATTATGAAGTGTTTTCATGTTATAAAATCACAAAACGAATTCAGCTGGTTTTTTTTTTTATGAATGTTAATACTAAATATTAAAAAAATGTGATATTCATTTACAGATAAATAGGAATAACCTTACAGTAAGAAACAAAATAACAACAGAGTTTTATTTTACAATTTATAATACCTAGTATAGCCATAAGTTCTGTTACAAGTAAAAACGATTTTTTTTTTGTATGAAGTAATGTAATGTTACTAAAATTTATACCTACATATTTATTAAAGTCTTACCAATTAATAAAAAAATATTCTGTTCGAAATGGCCACCTTATTGTCTTTTATATGGGCCTTTAATCTGTCTGGCCACGAATCTATGGATTTAAGCACTGTTTCCAAGGGAAATTTAGCCACTGCTTGCTCCAAAGATTTTTTAAGACACTCAATGTTGCCGTGTCGTTTAGAGCAAGTCTTATGCTCTAAAAGTGACCATAATTAGAAGTCTAAAGGGTCGAGATATGGGCTAGATGAGGGCCAGCCTTCAGCTCTTATAAAGTCCGGAACTTTGGCTTCAAGCCAGGCTTGGATAGTTCGTGCCTTGTGATCAGGTGCAGAATCTTGCTGGAAAGTCCATGGTATATTTTAAAAAATGTATTGCTAATAGGTTTCACAACACGATTCAAGACTGTATCTTGGTACACTTTGGATGATGTTTTCACTTCTTTTTCACAAAATGTAGTTTTATGACTCCTCGATAAGACACGCCCCACCAAATCATCACTGACGCAGGATGATGACCACGTTGTACCTTTCCGACCACTTGAGCAGCTTCTATAGAACTGTGAACGTACACTTTATCACTTTGCTTATTGTAGTATTTTTCAATCGTGAAAATATTTTCATCGGTAAAAAGAATATTTCTGTGCCTTTCATCTGCGTATCGCGACAGAAAACGTTTTGATCGATCAACTCTCTTTAATTGTAAAGATTGATTTAGGGAATGTCCTGAATATGGATGATAAGCACCGAGCTTCAGATTTTGTTTTATAATACGCGACAAAGTCCTAGCGAAAATCTTCATTTCTCGCGATAAGATTTTTGCTTCCTAATGGGGTTTCGACGAATTCTAGCTTTAACAGCATTAATAGCCTTTGTTGTTCTAACAGCAGGCAGCCGCCCCAATCTTTTCTGGTTTTCGACAGAATAAGTATTGTTGTATCTGTTGATAGTATGATATGTTCATATATCATATCATACGGTTGATAGCAAGCTTTTGAAGAGTCTGGAATATGACTGACAGCTCCATACCCACTCTGTGCAAGGCCATCACTGCAATCCTATTTTCTTTAACACCCTATTCCATATTGTAATTTGATAATGAACACGAAAAAATATGTGTAATGGCGCGAAATAGAAAAAGTTTTTAAAATAATAAATTCTGTGTTCCAAATTCAAAATAATTAAGAAGTTGATTAAAAGAAAAGTTTTTACGTGACAGTATTTATAACCAGACTAGTTATCAAAATAAATAACCTACTTAATATATTTATAAAAAAAATGCCCAACACCAAAGTTCAAAATAGTTAAACGGATCCTGAAAATAATTTTTAACTAAATAATATTTATTGTTACTCAACTTTTATATTGTGTTTTCACCAACACAAAAACAAAATGCAACATATTTACGGATTAAGTGTGCAAGTGGCGCCCGTTCTCAAATATCCATTCTGAATAAAGTACTTTAGGTTAGAAAGTGAAATAGGCTGCAGATTATTTAGTTTGTTACCCCCTATAACCGATTTGTGCCGCACAATTGAATTAAATCTATCGTTCTAATGTAGTTAGGTAGGGTTTTACTTGATCAATGAAGCTACCTAAATGCTTGTTCAACAACTGTATCAAAGATAGACTTTAATATTCTAGTACTAGAATGATAAATAAAAATATTATTGAGACCAACTGTTAAGTGTCATGAAGGTCAGCATCGGACAAAGGCAAATTAGAAAATTTGTAGAGTAACAATTCTCAGTGATAAAATATATTGTTCACGTTGTTGATATGAAGGAATTTATTAGTTACGAGTAGTATTATTAGCTGTATTCTTCGGATTCTTTCGTATGAGTTTGTATATACTCTATATTTTAAGTGAGGATATAAATACTAAACGGATTTATATCTATTCAATAGTTTTTGCGTGACATCCTCACAAACTTTCTTGTTTATAATAGTAGCAGGATAGTTATACTTGGCCAGTATTAATTTGGAATACATCTCTGGAGATTTCAAATTTCATTCAAATACATTCAACCGTTACGGCGTAAATTAATATCTAACAAACTTCCGTCGGATAAATTCAGTCTATTTTATCAGCAGGACTTATTTAAATATATTAATAAAATACCTATAATATTAACAATTGAAACTATTGTAGTTTGCATTGACATTTATGTTGGCAAACTAAAAACAGGCAAGTAACAAAAACTAAAGTTTAGACATTCGAGTTTGTCGTTTAGTTCTAAAAAAATCAACATTGTTTTTATTGACATAAAAAAAATTTCAACAGTTTAGAGGCAAGTGTTATTGTATTTAGTAATGCAGACTGCATTACTAAATACAATAACACTTGCCTCTAATACTATCATTTTCAAACATATGGATGACAGTAAACAATGTTTATATATAATTATAAATAATAATTATATAAATATAATAAATGTTAATAAATATCATTCTATATACATATAATAAAATTGTAACCGGAAGATATCTGTATATATCTCCTATATTAAAAAAATATATATAGAGGTCTTTATAAAAACGACAGAAGGCAAAACAAAAAAAAGCAACACAAAAGATTTTTTATCTGTCTGTTTTGTTTGTTTAGGTTAACGCAAAAATAATTGCATCAAATTAGCTGCTGCTCTATAAGTCCTGTTCCTGAAACTTGAAATCGGGTATATGTTTAGAAGTGTAAAAATAATAATACTTGAGATAACTTTCGGCGATAGTCACCTTCAATTCCAATATTTCAATTTCATAGAATAAAATTTGCCTTTTACTATAATTTTAAAGTCTCCATTTGTTTAAATTTATATCAACTTAATTGGACAGTTTACTTCAACGGAGACGGGGGATACTCGTAAATATTAATGACGAATTAGCATCGATCTGAAGGTAAGTTTTGTAATTAACAGCCATGTACATGAAAGATGAGGTTTTAATCGAGGATGCTCGGGACTTTGTATAAATTATGAATACTTAAGTGTCTGAAATAATCCGACATCTACAAGGTAAACGATCTCATTAGGTTTTATTATTCGAGCAATTAAAGATCTCTTGTACTCAACTTTTTGACGTCAAGAAGAGGATATTTAACTAACGCTAAGTATTTCTAGATATATATTAATAAATGCGTCTATATATAATCCAATAACGAAATATAAATATGTACTCCAAGGAATAAAATATGACTATAATTTGTTTACATTAGGAATGAATAATACATATATATTGACAAAAAATAATATTTCTGATTTCAAATAACGATGTTATTGTTTTTGGAAATGAGGAATTGGTATTGAAAAAGAATTAGTATATATTATTATTTATTACCTTGTTATTAATAAATATATTATAAAATATATATCATGATAATACAAATTTATATACTTGACAAATTAATAATTATTTAATATCCTATTTCTACTGATATTAAAAATATGAAAACTAGTAAAATAATTGTTTTTTAATCACACTGATATAGATAAAATAAATCAAATATATATTAAGTACTAATAGGATATTTTTAGTCTATTCTTTTATACCACAAATGTGACCAACAAGCATAGTTCAGACCGTCTAATTTTCCCAACAATGCCATGAATTACGAATAGTGTTCTATCCTGTTCATATAAAATTAATTATATTTTAGATATTAATATAACCTATTAGCAATATCCTCATTTTAAGTACTAGTATCTCCGTTCTTCTGAATAGATTACATTTGTTAACTATCTCTTATCTTTCCGTAGTAAAATATTTTCTTTGACGCAAAATGTCCCCATTCTTTCTTTTTACTATCTGTGGATTTTCTTGTCGTTTCATTATGTATATATTTATTTTTTTAAAACCTGTCTTTTTTAATCTAAAAAAAAAAATTTTAATTTTATATTTTTAAGAAATAAACGACAATCAATACTGTCGCAGAAATATTATACCGTAATAGGTCGATTTTCACGTATTGCCTCCCTTATTACCCTTACAGTTTACTAGAAATTTAGAGTTAGTTCTTAATTCAAATCTCATCAGATTTTCTACATATAAAAATATTAGATACGTTATCTGTAATAAGAAACTGAAAACCTTTTAATATGGCTACAGAGATTTGCATATAGAATCTGTAATGGCAGAAAGTCTACCGAATACTTTTTTATATTACACATAGGGGATTAACATCGAGGTCGTGTTATAAACAAATCAGGCCCGTCAAGCAATGTGTACTCCCGGCTTTAAGAGATTTACACGCACGCTATGGCTTCCCGAATGCGTGTGAGGCGCGCACGAGTCAGCGTCGTTACTATCATCGATGTAAGATGAACGTGGTGAACGGTCGTGATGGCAATGCTGATACTCACGCGGCGTGGTCGGCGTGCGGCAACCATGCGATCGCGAGAGCCACCAGAAGAGCGATGCTATGCACGCCGCGGGGACGGCTCGTATGCATGTTTTGCGCGTCCGCTTGCGTCCGGCGGACGCTTGCTGCCGGCGGCGGCGTACCTCGCTGCCGGCGGACTGCCGTTTGTCCCAGCCCCTAAGGCAGCAGGGACCCGCGCCTGCGCCCGACCACTTATCGACCGCGGCCCGGCCGCCTCCTTCCGCTCGCAATGACGACGCTCAGATCCTCACTGGAGCCTTATTGAGCGACAAACACTAAACGCTCTATCTTGACGCAAGGACGCACCGACTTTTCGCCACCGCTCATGTTTTATTAACACCTCGATATTTTCAATTTCACCTCACGATTTGTAAATTCTGAAAGCAATCGAATGGGGTAATCCTTATTATGAGTATGAGATTGAGACATCAGCATTTTTTGTAGGTGTGGGAATGATAATCAAAATTAGACTTTATTCAATTGAAAAGATAAGCCAGTTTTCAATGGCTATTTAATAATACATGTACTAAATGTTTCGATGCAAAACAATTCCAATTACTTCACTAGAAATATTTATTTCAAAAGCAGACAACATTTATCACCGGAATCACATTTCTCGTATCCAAAAGCTTCCCGCTAGTAGTACTTAGTGTTGGTTCTTATAAAAGCACAGGTAGTTTAGCAAGCTCATTGTGGTTGATTGTATTATGTCATAAAGCATTCATCTATGATGCTTTTTATTGCGTTCGCCACCGCTAACATTCTGCGCAAATATAAAATCCAAAAATGTTTTAATCTATTTCTTCTACTATTTGCACTTTCGTTTTCATTTTGCGAATACTTATTTCTAAAGCAACTATAATTTATTCTCAAAATCTCGTTTCGCGTATTTTTATTCTTAAGACATTTCCATCAATCGCATCGACTGCTGATTCTTATAATAGTGCAATAATTTAATAAGCTATTTGTTTGTATTCTATTAAGCACTTCTATAGAAGGAGACGTAACTATTCTTATTGCGTCCATTGTTGCCAAATATTTTGAGATACATATATGTATTTCATCGATATATTTCTTTTTATTTTATTCGTATTTTACAGTACCTGTGACTTCAACTCTAGTCAAAGTATCACAATACTTCAGTTTAAAGTTATTTTAATTTCTAATAAACTTTTTTATAGTAATGTTAAAGCTACAATTTACAATAACTTGGCTGCTTAATAATGTAAATAATAAGTGTTTCAGTGTAAAACTAATCAGTGTATTCATTCATTTTGCGTAAACTTATTTTGAAAGCTAATAACAAATATTTCCGAGCCTTCTTTTACTTTTTTGTCTACAAACAACTTTATTAGTTTATTTCTAAAAACTAGTTACGTTTTCAAGCTTATATAAATTCATTATCATTATATCAGCTGTTAATCGTCCAGTGGCCAACATAGGCTTCCCTCTATTGGAGATTTTGTAAGTACCATGCTTGGAAGGCGGATTGGCAACCGCAATTAGGCTTTGGTAATGTCATAAGAGGTATACTGTAGCCCATCTCTAGACCATTATGTTCCCTTTGTCACCTCTTACGACACCCACGGGAAAGGAAGGAGTGAAACCACATTGCAATGTTATGTATATTACATATGTAAAAATGAAAAGTTATAATATTAAATTAAAAAAAATATATATGCTTACAACGATAATTTCCTATAACGTCAGAGGCATTTTTCAACTATTATCGTTGAATTGAATGCAAAACTTGTCATTTTAATTCTATCTCTTATTAATATTTCTATAAATGTTATTAAAAACCGACTAAGACAACCAAATGAGGAAAACACTAAATACTGTTGCATTACTACATCAGATTAGCGACAGAATTAGATGAACATTATTAAAGAACTTAAGCTGAACATATGCAATAATTTATGTATACAGTGGTGTATAGCGATTTTGAAATAAGGATGTAATACTTTTAGTGATGGTTGTTATTCGCTAAATATAAGTACCAAGTAGAATTTCAATAGCATTTTTTTAGAATAAAGATACACTACGTATTATTTATTTTTATTATTATTTATAACTATGGTACTGATCATATATGTACTAGGAAATCTAATAAATATATAAAAGAATTAAAAGATAAATTAAGGATTATTTATCTACCTAATAACTTATTTTATAAAAATATAATAGGTACTCTCAACTCTAATGTTCAAATCCAGCTCACCATATAATTTTTATCACTCCCCATTTTTAGATAATCTATCCGACTTTAAAGCGCGAGAATTTCATTAAAAACGTATCAATAGTTTTCCACATTGGCAAATCGCAAATGACATGAGGTAGTAATGAGGAATTATGGCGTAAATTTGCTGAATGGTGACAGTAATAAAAACCATTTTGCATAATAATTAATGATAAGATATGGAGTTCAAAATATAATTGAACAATTGAATGAATAAATGTAAATATATATTTATATATTATGAATAATTAAGTAAATGAAAATATCCAACAACACTATCACGCAAAAATATTTAATAAAATAATATTGGAAATTATTATACTAAGTGAAACTATACTACTAGATATTGATGTTATTTTATGCAACTGAAATCTTGGATTCTACGGCTATATTAGATCGGGTCTGTTTAGAAAACGAACATTTTAATTGACTCAGGTGTAAGCGGCGAATCCACAAGGCTTATTATGAGTGTTTTAAAACCAGACAGTTCTACAGATTAAATTGAGCTGTTCAGTAAATGAATACCAAACATATAAATAAAACATATGTACTGTATGTATGTATTTAAGTCACGTGACCTAAACCAAGAATTTAAAGAAAGTAATAGGCCCCCGTAAGTCTGTTCTTTGGTTACGTAACACACCGTTTAAGTTTGCACACCGGACAAATAGCGTAACTGTGTAAAAAAAAATGCAAACATATACTTTTCATTTTCATAATATTTAGCTTTTATAAGTCAAAAGAAGAAAAAGTTGGTCGTTGTATCAAATCATAAAAAAAAACAATGTTTTTTGTCTAAGCGGTTTAATCACAGCTAGTCGACCTAGTTGTGATTTCAATTAAAATATTATATTCCTTTAGTGAAATTTAGAGCTCTATACTCCTAAAAGAAAAACGGGGGGGTGGGGTTGTTAGTAATGCAAACTACCAGTCCCATTGCTAGGAAAAAACCCGATCAGGTCGATCTCCACATGGTCCCTCCTGAAAACCATCGTGCTAAATTCCAGGTGTATTTTCATGATGGGCTAACTGATCTACTCTTTCATTTTTACTTCCCTCACTGGTGCCCTGCCAACAGCGTAGGAGAGGTTACCATTTCATTATCATCCATTAAAAAAAAGAAAAACGATTTGTTTTAAAAACTATAACATAATCTTTAACAGGTTGAAATAAAAAATCATAAGTAATTTGAATAACGTTATATTAGGAAGATAAAAACTTTTAATCCTTTACGAAAAATATTCAAGTTCACTGGTAGAACATTTTCTTAAAAAGCATGCTAATGATTTGTATTTTATCCTGTTTACACTATGCTGTATAATTGACGGCCACAACAATTATTATGTAAAATATACCCTATTATTACACGAGTATGGAATAAAATGTTTTGACGGCCGATGGTCGTTCGCTCTGTTCGCACAAGCCCATAAATTCGTCGTAACGGATTCAATGATGAAAGAGCGGTGAACTGTACCGATATGACATTAAGGATTATATTCCAATGCAGTCGCAGCACCTCTCCATTCTTAGTCCGTCGTCGTACTGTATATTGCAGGATGTCTTTGTTTGCCTATCTTGCCAATTTCTAAACGGCGTTTCTGACCACTTGTAAACTTGTGATGTTAATTACAAGTGGCCGAATCCACAAAATATTTTGTATTAGTATCGTAATTAAAATCGAGGGGGATATGCTGTCAGAATAGCTAAGTACACAAATAAAGCAATGATTAATTAGTTATTTAATATATTTTATTTCTGTAATATATCGAAATAAATATACATATATAATTTCATTTAATATAATAATAAGTAATAACATTCAGCAAGTTATTGTAAAATGTTTTTAGTATAAAATGATTGTTTACCATTAATTCACCCGCGGGGTTAAGGAACTTCTTTTTTTAATTTATAAGCATTATCTCGTATTAGTTTAGTATATTATGTGTAAATTGATTTGTTAGCTAGCTAGATTAAAAAGCTATATGTTATTTATAAAAATGTTCGAGATATTTGCAGTGATCATAACGATTTTTATATAAACTTATTCTTATTTTTTTTAATTAATATATATAATAAAGTCGTAACTGGTCGCTGTCGATACACGGAAGATATATAAAACAAAAATTATTATAGGGAGGGCTTTATGAACGTAATGGAATCCAAAACAATGAATTTTAGAATTTTTGTCTGTTTGTCATTTGTGCACACTAATCTCAGAAATGACTTAACAGATTTTAATATGATTTTCATTACGTTGCAGTTTGCTCCACTTAACATTTAGTGTTAGTTTTATTTCAATCGGTTCATAAATAAAAAAGTTATAACAATCTAATAAATCACATATAAAATGCTATTAAATAACCAATTAGTCGAATTGGCTGACACTTTTTTTATTGTATGTATTTATTTTAGAAAATTCTGTCTACTTGTGCGAAGCCGGGTCAGATCGCTAGTTATTGAATATTTTTTTAGCTCTTTTTCAATATTGTTACAGCATTGTAAATTAAAGTTCTCTTGAGAACAACGTTTACTTAATTGTTTAGGTATTGAACGAAATCTTAAGCACTATAATATTTTCAGTACAATTTTAGATTATCAATCGTCTTAGATGACGCCTGACTCCCTGGTTTTCTTACAGCGTAGTAAAAGTTTGAAACGCGGCATTGGCCCGGCCCGTATGTCAAACACCTAAATGCGCTTGCTTTAATACTATTTTATACAGTACATAAATATTAAATACTTTATCTGTTGATATATAATGTAAGTTGTATAATTTTAAGGTAGGTCTACATTTGAGAAGCCTTCAAACGAGTAGCCTCTACTTAAGGCAAGCTGAGGATGTTCACTGTCAAAACTGGAGCAGAGGCATATTTCAAAAAGATACTTTGTACAAAAGTCGTCTGCT